AAAATTTACGATGAGTTACGGTATTGAGAGCACAAGGTAGGCGTAAAGAAAAACAACCACTCATGCAGTTAACCTAATTATTTCAAGTCTGATGCAAAAACGCATTATCGCACCGGCTCGCCTGGTGCGTTCCAGCCTGGGTTGTATTTGATTTAAAAAAACATTCATAAACAACAGTTCTCAAAGCTTCCATTTTCAAGCTTGAACTGTGGTGTTGGAGGAACAATGCTCTTGGAATGTTTTACGCTCGATGCGACTGAAGATGGTTTACAGATTGTTGTAAAGGTACGTACTCGCTTCGGAACATTAAAAAATTATTTGTCAAATGCACCGATGACTTACAACAGCTGGAACCAAATCGTGCTGGTATTCAATGGCAGCGCCCTGGAACTTTTTGTAAATTGCACCCCAGTTCTGCAAGCCAACAATCCGGATCCCGATTTCCCGTACGATTGATGTTTATTTAAGCACTTTTATTATTTTATAAAGGATCTTGTCAGACGGGTAGAGGGCAAACACAGTAAAAAGTTTTCTCCGGATAACGCATTTTAGAGATTTTTGACGTCAACAGTGGCAGATAGCTCCTTTACTTCACTTAGATACTGAAATTTTGATCTTTGCCGAAATTTTTATTTGACAAAAACCAAGGTTTTTATCGCAGTAGCGCTGTTACAGTGAACACCCAAGCTGCAGTGGACCAGAGTTGCCGCTGCGATCACGCGTTTTTGTATTAAGCTTGCAGATCGCTAACAGAGCGGATTGTTCCTGCGCTGCATTTTAACACCTGGACTCATATTGGCTGTGTTTTGATCTTTTCCCACACGCAGAGAGAAACTGAGTCAGCTAGGGTAAGTGTGTTGCATTATGAGGCCACATGAACCTCCAGCGTGCATGATTGCCGGGTTTTAGCATGAAGCCTGATCGTTTTTCCGGTAAACGCTCGTTCATTGCAAATTTGAAGTGAATCAGAAGAGAATCATGAAATCTGCAAAATTCACTCGCTTTTGAGTTTGCAATAAAATTGAGCATTTGTCATATTCGCATGCACGGAATTTCACCTCCAAGCTGGATTAAGACCAGACATGAATATTACTGTAAGCATTTAGTTTTGCAGCTTGCTTGGTAAGCGAAATAGCCACTTCGCTACAAAAATTTTTGAAGAGCCATAAATCGTGGCACGAGTACAGATCGGAAATCAATTTAGTTATGCGATTTCTATATTATGAACAGCAAATATTCTGGCAAAATTTCAGCTGCTGTTTTTCGGCTGGTTTTCGACTTAGCACAGTGCCAACTGCGAATTTTGACACGACTGCACGTTTAGTGCGCGGTAGCTGAATTTGAAATATTTAGCTCTTAGATGCACAACGAATATTCTTGCAAAGCTTTAGCTTTCTATCTTGTCTGACTCACGAAATGGTTTCCCGCAGTTTGCATATTTTTTTCGAGGGTCCGTACGCGAGATCTAGGCGAGTATGAAAGAAGATTTTAAGACAGGAAGGTACACATGGGGTGGGAATATGATTCCTCAAAATTTCAGTATCTCAGATTTCCTGGTTGTTGAGTTGAAAATGGGTGACAAACTTCACTTGGTTGCAAACACACACACAGGAACAACCTCTCCATACCATGCGTTTTTGCTCACTGTAGCAGCGCTATAGTGCTGCAAAGCAAAATGCATATTATCAAAAGATTGTCCAGATTGTCCACGCGCACACAGGTGCATATAGGCACACGTACGTACGTGCATATGTGCATATGCATATGTGTGCTGGTGTGTGTGTAGGCGAGACAAATTACGTCACCCACCTACAACCCCAGAACCAGGGAAACTTGGAGGCTGAAACTTTTGGAGCATATTCCCGCCTCGTGTGCAATCCCCACACTTTGAAACTATCGCTCACGTACGCTTAGCTCTCATGTAAAGGCGTCAACAAGAGAGTATGTAAATTTTTTGACAGAAAGCGATTTCGAGAACCAGCCAACGTAAGAAGCTGAAACTTTGCAGGGGTGCTCCCTGCCCGTGCTTGAGCTAAAAATTTCAAATTCAGCCAAAAAGCACATCTGTTTGGTGCATACTGACACTACAAACTTCGTCGTTGACTCCATGCCTATCTGGATAATCATTGGCGACGCGCACTGGGGGGTCCCGTGCGATCATGCGTTTTTGCAGTGTTTTGTGCTGTAATAAGATTACTCGAAATTCCGCTAGCT